GGAGGATTGCTTGAGCCCAGGAATTAAAGATTGCAGTGAGCTATGATCATGCCACTGTGCTCCAGCCTGGGTGATAGAGGGGGCTCTGTCTCAAAAAAAAAAAAAAAAAAAAAATCTGTGTGTTATAGCTGGTAAGAAGCCCACAGATTTCAGGAGCCCAAAGGGCTGCTCATCTTTGTCACCCTTTCTGATGAGACTGCTGGTTTTATAGACATAAGTAAAGTGCTATTTCTAGGCCTAGTATTCTGGAAGATGGGCTTTAGGTTGTCTGTGCATGTCTGTGTGGGCATGCGCCTTCACTGCACTTCCCAATCACAGCATGGTAGAGCCTCTTTCAGACCTAGGTGGATTTTAGTGACATCACTGAATATCATTTCATAAAGCTGACTGCAGAGCCCTTTACTCTTTCATTACACTATGACAAGTTTCCTTTATTAAAAAAGCATCCAGTAACCATCAGGTAAACAGAACTTGTCCTGAAATTGCTGGGCAATTTTAAATTCAAACACTAAGACCCGAGGACACTTTAGTCCTGATGTTCTGTGCATCTTCTGTGGATAGCTGGCTGAGCATCTCTCCTCTGTGGACAGAAAGGATTATCACAATGGCCACAGTTCATAAACCACCACCTGGAAACAGCAAGGTGCTTGGATGGAGTCTGGCATGACTGCCATTTCCAACAGCTTTTACTCATGCTGATGAGATTTCAGAGCGTTGCCACTCATGAGCTGTTACAAGAACAGGAGGCTGGGCCAGGCGCTGTGGCTCAAGCCTGTAATCCCAGCACTTTGGGAGGCTGAGGCGGGTGGATCACAAGGTCAAGAGATCGAGACCATCCTGGTCAATATGGTGAAACCCCGTCTCTACTAAAAATACAAAAAATTAGCTGGGCATGGTGGTGCATGCCTGTAATCCCAGCTACTCAGGAGGCTGAGGCAGGAGAATTGCCTGAACCCAGGAGGCGGAGGTTGCAGTGAGCCGAGATCACGCCATTGCACTCCAGCCTGGGTAACATGAGTGAAACTCCGTCTCAAAAAAAAAAAAAAAAAAAAAAAAAGAACAGGAGGCTGTATAAACTCCACCTGACTCTGTGAAGCTACGATTTCCTCACCTGTACAGCGACCATCAGAAGAGCAGAACCAGTGAGGGTCACACATCCCGCGTTCTTCGCTGGCACAGGGCTTGGCACAGCAAGTGGGAAAGGTGCCCTGCTGCCGCTGCAGTTATCATCACACTGTGTGCATGCCGAATTGCATGGTTGGCTCTGAAAGGCCAGGGGAGGAGTGAGGAACTGTCACGCAACTGCCATCTGGTTCCCTGACCCTGGCGATGCCTAATTAACTAAAAAGGGACACTCAGGAGGTGAGCCACAGTGGAAGCAGGGCTTGGAGTCAAGCAGCTTTTCGGGACCCAGCTGCTCACACAACTGCAAGAACAAGGTCCCCGGCCAGTCACACCATCGTCTCACGCTCCAAGCCTGGAGTAGGAGCCAGTGCACTCTGATGCTCTTCATGGCCAGGACCCCCTAGTTCTGGTGCTACTTTGTCTAGGTTTACAGAGTCTGAAAATGCGGTTTTTGTGGGTTAAGCTACCTACTAGGTGCAAGCACTGTGCTGGCATGACAGGCTACTTTCATTTCAAAACCAACATCTTCCAGCTTTTGAATGCCAAAAATCTTACACTGGAGCTACGGGTTATGTTCTTTTGGCTCAGTAAATAATAAAGAATGCAAATAATTATCTAAAAGTATACTCTCAACACTTTTGCCACTTTCCTCTGAAGTACAGAGTTTTAAAATCCAATTATAAAAACCTAAGAGTTACCTAAAAATGCCCCAAGTCAACAGAAGGTTTAGTAATAGACAAAGGGGGAAGATATGTATATCATTACTTCTACACAGAATATATCACACAGGAAATTTATATATTCATTTAAGACAAGCACAATTCATAAAGCAACATGCAAGAGATTTTGGCCAGCCAGTGAAAAGCCTCCTCAAATGACTGAATTTATCATATCATGTGATAAACATAAGCTTTTTATTGTACACAAAACTGTTAAGCAGATATTTTTATGTGACACACAGAAACTCTTAAAATTGTTTCATGATTTCTCTAGAGGTATAGAAACAGCGTATCCTCAATTCAGAAAGTTCAGCTGAGCAGTAAGTGTTTTCCTCTATGAAAGCTTTTCTAACCCTGTAGCTTACGAAGATGAACCCTACAAAAGAAATCCCAACAAGTATCGGAACATAACTGGAATATAATGACTCTCCCTTTTAAAGTAATTATCGGTTTGGTAGCTGTCCCAGTTCTCCTTGAACACTTGATCAGGTATTTTGATTGCTTTCCCAAAGCACATTACCTCTAACTGAGGAAATAATTTGGTAACTACCATATGCACTCTGAAGAACCAGTAGGTAGTGAATTTGCAAGAGTGCATAAAGGGACAATCAAGCACAGGTTACCTGAAACACCGTCAGAATCCTTTTGTGCACAGAATCCTAAAACATTAATGACTGTTCATTTCTTCCTTTCTTTCATTGCATTTTGAATATTTTATGTATGCTGCACATTACTCTCTCTCGGACAGCTATATGTTGGAAGCAGCATGGAAAAATGCAAAGAAATTGAACTGGTACTTTAAAAAGTGCTGAGTTTTTACCTCTATTTCAGATGCGGAATAGACACCATAACATGATATGCTAGGTGGAGGGCAATAGGTTCATTCAGGATTTTATCAAAACCAGAAATGAAGAAGTTGATCATTACTTTCAATAAAGAAATCTCTGACTTGCAAACTGTATGTGAGAATCTCAATTTTAAATACAGAGAAAAGGAAATATATTTGTAAGGACCTGTGTATTTTATACATTGCCCATTGGTATACGGCCCATTGACATACAGGCACCAAAGGAACTATTATTATTCATGGCATTAATGTAAAAATGGAAAACATTTCATTTCTTAAGCTCTCTCTCTCTCTCTTTAAAAAAAATTCCCCCTTTTTCATTTCAAAGCTTTATTTTCCTGCATCTTTCAAAATATAGGCAGTGGTCCAGTTGACCTCTAAGATCTCTTCCAAGCCTAAAATGTGAAGATCCTACGATCCCAGAAGGAATACCACATTCCTCCTCCCCTGATCCCCAATGTCATCTTGACTGTGAAGACCGAAAAACAGTAACAGACTGTTCTGAAGAGTTCTGATTAGCAAGGATGCAAGAAGCAAATAACCAAGGCATTTCTGCACAGAATTCTTCCACATCGTTTGTATAAATCCTGCTTGAAAAATAAAACTAAGATCCTCTAACCCCCATGCTGGTATTCTAACACATGAACCTTTGATCAGACTCAACATTTAACTGCAGGATGGAGAATAAACCCCTGATATGAGAGCACTAAGCCTCCCTCTGCTGCAGATGTTTTTCTAGAGTTGTTACATCCACGCTATTTCTAACTCGGGAAATATGTGGAACCTAAACCCTAGAAAAGAGGGACTCGCAGGACAGGTCAGGAATTACCTGACCTTCTCTTCTGGAGTTAGGATGCTATTTGCTTGGAATCCCAGGGGTTCCAGCTTCAGTAAAATTGGCAGAACAAGCATTATTTGATTAGTGTGAAAGAGCCTGCAGTGAAGGGGACAGAGAAACAGGCCACGCAGGGAGGAAGTGATGGCTTCTGATGGGCCGCCTGTAGAAAGATCAAGCCGAGGTCATTTGGGGTCTTTTTAAGAAAACAATGATTTTTCATAAATCAAAAAGATGCCCATATAACAATGTAATTTTCTTAAATGACGCTTAGTATTGGTTCAGGAAAACACCAGAGAACTGGACCGCAGTCGACAGCGTAGAATTTGAGCAGATAACACCATCAGGCACTCACCCTGCTCCCAAGTACTTTGGAGTTTCTCTGCGTAAAGCTGCCATCTGATGCAATAGGTGGGAAGGCTCATGCGAGCTGTTTGGCCCTACTTTGGTATTAAGTTAAAATATTTAGCCCTAATAAAGGATTTAATTGCTTGGGGCAGTGGGGTGGGGGGATGAGAAAACAGAAACAGGGTCTGAAAGAGACCAAGACCTGGAACCTCGACCCCAGCGGTGGTGGCCGTAAGGGGTTCCGGGAGGGAAGGAGGAGGCTGCTGAGGGGAGAACAGGCATTTCCAAGACGGGCTGGTCTTGTCCCTTAAGGGAGTGCCCAAACCACACCTCTGCCTGTCTAGAGTGAGCTCCCAAGAGTGAAATTTCCACCTTTCCAGTAGAGGCAGTCCAGAAGAAGGCAGGGAGCCGGTTTACAAGCAGGCAGCTGGCTCTCCCTAGGCCAATCACCTGCAGACCTCCCACCCGGGACCTCTGCGGAGGATCCTTGTGTGTGTGTGTGGGGGGGAGAGTTGGGGGTTTGGGGGGTTTGAGAGAGCAGCTGGGTTGAACACTTAAATCCTTAGGTCCAGGAAGAGTTCCCACCTTCATAGAGATTATAGGAACAGGAGACTGAGGAGCAGACAAGGGAGGGAGAGCAAACGGGAGAGGAGGGGAAAGAAGAGTGGGGAGATAGGGAGGGTGGAGAAGGAAAAAAAGAAAAAGGAATGGGGGTGGGAAGAGAAGCGGAGACAGAGAAACGGGTGAGAGGAGAAAGAGTCCAGGAGGAAAGGGAGAGGAGGATTGGGGAGGGAGGCTAAGGAAGAAGGGGGGGAGAGAATTATGAAAGGGATGAGGAGAGAATGAGCCAGATAGACCAGAGGGACCGGCAGGGGCAGAGATCGAGACTAGACGCCGGGCCGGGAGAGACCGGACGGAAAGCAGGGGCAGGAAGAAAACACTCATAGAAAAGAGGCGGAGGCGCTCAGAGCATCCCCGTGGGGCGCTGGTGTAGACAGAGCCGGGAGTGAGATGGCCGGAAGGGCCCTCACCTCGGGGCCCTCACCTCACCTAAAGCGCCCAGCTGCACTTTAGACCCGACCGCAGCCCCACGCCCCCAGCCCCGCCGCAGCGGTGCGCGCCTTACCTGGCCCTTGACCAGGCTGGCCGCGAACTGGCGCATGACGGCCTCCACGGTGTAGGCGCTGGACCAGCCGCGCGGCGTGAGCAGCTCCATGCAGATGGCGCCGCCGTCCAGCACGTAGCCGTTCTCCAGGCGCGGGCTGAGCACCCGCATGAAGGGCGGCGAGAAAGGGAAGTTGTCAGGGAAGGTGAGGTTGAGCAGGATGAACTCGGTGTTGGTCTCCTTCATGTCCTGCCACAGCACCGAGTCCTTGTCCACCTGGTGCAGCTTCACGTTCCAGTCGAACAGGCTCTCGTCCACCAGCTCCACTGAGATGAAGCGGTCGCTGAGGCGCGCGATGTCCTGCAGCTCCTTCATGAGCCGCCGGCTGCGCACCTGCGTGCAGTGCTGCTGGCGCGCCGCGGGGACCAGGCTGCCGCCCGTCGCCGCCGCCACCGCCGGGCCCGGCCCCGCCCTGGCTCCAGCCGCCCGATCGCGGGGTCCCCCGGCCCCCGCCGCCCCCGCCGCCGCAGCCGCTGCCGCCGGCGCCTTGTCGCGCGGGGCCACCTCCGCCGCGCGCTTGCCCTTGCCCTTGCCCGGTCCCGGGCTGGCGTCGCCCGCGCCTCCGGGGTGCTGCTGCTGCTGCTGCTGCTGCTTGTGGCCGCCGCTCTTGGCGCCGCCCTTGCCTCGCAGAGACGCGCTCTGCTGGCCGCCGCCGCGGTGGTTGTGGTGGTGCTTGGGGTCCTCGGTGTCCCGGTTGTGCAGGCGGATAAGCCCGATCTTCCGCAGCAGCGTGGCCATTTTAGGCTCGGCGCCGACGGGCGGGCTCCCTTCTGCTCCTCCCCCGGAGCCCGGGAGCCCGGGAGCTGGGGGCGCGGGGCGGCGGCGACGGGCGACCGCTCAGTGGGGCGCGGCAAGGGCCACCCCAGGCGCCGGTGGCTGTGGCGCAGCGGAGCGGGCAGCAGCACGCGCGCTCGCCGGCTGCGGCGTAGCCGCTGTCATATGACGGGGCCCGTTCCGGTTCGCGTTCCGGCCGCTCGGGGAGGGGAGGCTCGGAGGAGACGCGGCGCGGCCGTCCGTCCCCGGGCCAGTCCCCAGGCACAGCCCGTGGAGTCCCGGCGTCCGCTGTTCTTTGTGCGCGGCGCTGGCCGCGCTGGCCCCGGGTCGGAACGCCGCGCCTGGGCGCGCAGAGCCGCCCGCAGTGCCCCGGAGGCAGCCAGTGGCCGCGGGCTCGCGCCTGGCGCTCCTGCGGGCTGTGCCGCGCTGGCGGCTATCGCGGGGCCCGGGCCGCTGCAGCTCGCGTCGCCGCCGCCGCTGCGGCTGCTGACATTGCAGAGGCGGCTGCTCCGTCTGAGCCGAGCGCTGCGCGGAGGGGGCGGCCCTGCCGGCCGGGAGGGGGGGCGCGGGGCGGAGCCGCTGGCTTGCCTGCGCCGAGCCGCCCCCGCCGCCCGCTCCCGCCGCGACACGCGCGCGGCCGCTTGGGGGAGACCGCGGTGCGCGCCCGGCGGGCCGGGCTGGGGTCTGCGGGGGGCGCAGGCTAGGCCGGGGAGCCCGGCGGGGGCGGGGCACGGGGCGTGAGCCTGGCGCGCTCGCTGGGGTCTCAGGCACCGGGCCCTCCTGCCCGGATCTCTGTTCTCCGCGACCCCCAGCCCGAGCCTCAGACCCCACTTAACCCGGTGAGCGCAATCGGGGGAAGGGTGGGAGGCAGCCTATTGATGCCTTCGGGTCTGAAGGAGCCCGGCGTTCCGGCACAGCTCGGGGCCGATGGGGACCGCTTTCTAAAGGACAGATCCAAGAATCAGGGCCGGGGAGTGGGATGCCCGGAGTGTGCCCGCCGCGACGCCCGAAGAGAAGCCCCTAGGGTCACTACTTTGCCGGTTCACCCCCTCCTCGCCCGCCCCGCTCCCCTTCCGCCCGCCACGGGCCTCCGCGTTCCCAAGAGGGGTCCCCGGAGGAGGGGCCAGCGGAGCACTGCCCGGTGACTCCTTACGGAAGGCTGCGGAGAAGCTCGCCCAGCGCGGGCGGCCGGGGCTCGGGGCAGAGCACCCCCTCTGCGGACCCCGGAGTGTCCGCTGCACCGGATCGGTTCGCCTTCCACTGGGATGCTCGCATCCTCGCCCTCCCTTCCTTACTTGAACCCATTAAACTCTCTCTCTTTTTAATCTGGTGAAATTTCAAGCAAAAAGCAAGTTTAGATCCCTAGGAGCTGGAAGGATTGGGAACCGCAAAGCTTCCACGTTTGCAGGAAGCATCCTGCTCTGCACTGTAGTGTGTGTGTGTGTGTGTGTGTGTGTGTGAGAGTGGTGTGTGTGGTGTGAGTGTAGTGTGTGTGTTGTGTGTGGTGTGTTGTGTGTGAGTGTGGTATGTGTGTGGTGTGTGTGAAGGTGTGGTGTGTGGTGTCTGAGTGTGGTATGGTTGTGTGGTGTGTGAATTTGTGATGTGTGTGAGTGTGTGATGTGTGTGTGCAGTGGAGTGGGCTGCACATATCCTGTGTGGTGTGCGTGTGTGTGTGTGTGTGTGAATGTGTGTCTGAGTGTGGTGTATGGTTTGTGTGTGATGTGTATGAGCGTGGTATATGAGAGTGTGTGGTGTGTGTGTGTGGTGTGTATGTGTGAGTGTATGTGAGCATGTGAGTGTGTGGTGTGTGTGGTATGTTTGAGAGTGGCGTATGAGTGTGTGGTGTGTATGTGATGTGTGTGTGAGTATGAGTGGTATGTGAATGTGTGATGTGTGTGGTTATGTGGTATGTGTGAGAGTGTGTGGTGTGTGTGAGCGTGTGTGGTGTGTGTGTGTGTGAGTGCATGATGTGTGTGTGCGGCCGAGCTGCCCAGTGGTGAAGCTGTAGTGATGGTGAAGTACGGGGGAGCTGACCCCGGAAGCCTAAATGGTTTAGGATTGTAAACCTGGCTGCTGCTGCTGCTGGTGGTTTGGCTTTGAACTTGAGGAGCCTCCCAGTTCGCCAGGGAAGCCTTTCATTCTGGGAGCCTTCATGGTGACTTCTTGTTTTTAACTTCTTTTACAATTTTTACCTTTTCTAAATCAATAGAAATTTTCACTGAAAAATAACTCTTCTGGCCACTGTGGAGACAGTTACCAGCCTGCAGGATCTGGGTTCAGGTGTTTGTTTTGGGGTTGTTTGGGGGAGAGACGATTGACAACATGAGCTAAAAAAGCAGGAGTGCCTGCATGCGTGGGTCCCCGCGAGGCGACCGGACAGACAGGTGTGTCTGCGGAGGCCTGGGGGCCTCTGCTCTCAGGTGGGTGCCGTGTGAGGGGGAATCTCAGCTGCGACAGTAGGGCCTATTTGTCCTGGTTTCATGGTTGGTTTTGTTTTGTTTTAAGACCCTGCTCTATCCAGCCCTTTCGTTTTATCTTTTCTTTTTTTCAGACAGGGCGAGAAGGAGGATGACAGTGTCTCTCTGTAAAGTCCTGTGAGCTCATCTAACATGAGGGACGGGACCGGTTGGCAGGCACTACATGTTTTATTATTTAACTTCCACAGAGACCCTCTCAGGTTTCATTTGTCTCCTTTTATTGGTGTAGAAACGAGTTTCGGGGGGCCCAGCAGCTTCCCCCGCTCAGCCACGTGCTGAGAGGCCCAGCTGGGGTCCACACCCAGCAGAGACCCCCTGTGCTAGCTCTGTGCTCCTTTACCTGATATCCTGCGAGGCTGCAGTACTGGGGCTCAGATGCAGGCACAGCCTCTGTCCTGCCCCAGGAGGTGAGAACGCGTCTCCTGGGCTGATTGTCCGGGTTTACAGAACCCACTGACCTGGGCCGAGGCTTCAGAAACTCTTTGTAGCAGTGACAGCAACTGATCCCACTTGAAACAGAGACATCATCAGATGTGGTTTGGGAATGGTTTAGCTGAAATTGCAGGCAGCTCTCTGTGAGGCCTCTTCCAATAACTCTTGAATGGAGTTATTGCTAGGGAGATCATATACCTTACTGTATGGTTGTAGATTTTTTTTGTAAGTCGAAGGATCACAATACTGATGCTGAGACTGGGCTCACACCTGTAATTCTTGCACTTTGGGAGGCTGAGGCGGGCAGATCACTTGAGGTCAGGAGTTCGAGACCAACCTGGCCAACATGGTGAAACCCCGTCTCTACTAAAAATACAAAAAATTAGCTGAGTGTTGTGGTGCACATCTGTAATCCCAGCCACTTGGGTGACTGAGGTGAGAGAATCACTTGAACCCAGCAGGCGAAGGCTGCAGTGAGCTGAGATTGGGCCACTGCACTCCAGTCTGAGCGACAGGGCAAGACCCTCTCTCAAGAAAAAATCTTTTGCTGGGACAAGAGGCCAAGCCAGAGTGAGCTGGTGTAGAGATGGTCATCACGTCCCTTGTTACCGTCCCTCACTCTTAGATCACCTTGGATCAACTCTTAAAAAGGCTGAAGCCAAATGTTAAAGATTGGAAACAAATCTACAAGAAGAGGGGAAGTGTTAAGTAAATCATACTGAATCTGCTTAGAGTATATTTTGCAGCAAGAGCGTCACAGTTATCAAGTTTATATCGTAAAATGGATAGAATTCATGATCTACATAATAATTGTAAGTGAGAAAGTAGAGTGAAAATTATGTCCATACAGCAGCTTCAACTACATAGAGCTATGCACAGGGGAAAAGACTAGAAGGAGAAATTTTGAATGGTATTATCATGTTAGTACAGGTAGAAAATCTCAATGTAGTCCCTCCTCAGTTGCCTCCAGCCCGTGGATCCAAACATTTGCTTACATGACAGGACGATCATGTCAGGAGTGAGCAGAAGGACCTGTGTGGTTTGCAAACCCTCCTCCTTCTATCCCAGAAGATTCTAGAGAGTTCTGCTTTACCCATGGCATGAACGGATATTTACCTAGCCCGGCAGTATGTAGAGGTTACATTGTGTTATAGTTATTCCATTATATTTGATTTTCAAATATTCTAAAATGGAATGTATACCAGTAAAAATGAAAATAAATTGTTACCAAATGTTGTCATTTTATTGAAGACTAGACTTATAATATTGAGACAGTTGAATTAAGTTCATTTATCATAGTTAAATAAAATAATTTCTAAGGACAACTGTGGGTATCTAGCTCCTGCTATGCTCTCGAGTACTGAGGGGTGGGGAAGGGGAGTAGTTGGGGAATCTGCAGACAACCTGCACCAATCTAGCATCCAAGGAAGGGAGAGATGGATGCTGGCCATCACATGAGTTCCATCATCCAAGAATAAGTCCTATCTGCCAATGACTCTTCCCATGAGCATTCGCTCAGTGGTCCCCGGTGCCACTATCTCCAGCTGCAGTTTGCCCACTCGTTATCTGTCTCAAAATCTACCTCCCAGTATTTCAGTTGGTCCTGTTTGCTCATGAGCCCCAATCTCCTAAAGTCACCAAGACCTTGCCTCAAAATACCTTCCTTAAATGTGTACAGGTTATTTACTCGCCTGAACTAAGGTATGAAGATTACTGCCTAAATTAAAAAAAAATATTTTCTGCTAAAATAAATCACTGCAAGGGAGCATAGTGTGGGTCTGTGATGTTACCAGGTCATGTGTCCTTTGATGCCATTCACTTCTGATCACCAAGCCTGACACTTAGATGGCACTTATATACCTTGAGCCCTATCCCAAGCACTTTACATATATGGACCCATTAAATCTTTGTGACAGCCCTATTAAGTAGGTACCATGCTTATCCTTACTTTATAGATGAATAAACTGTAGCAGGGAGAAATTAAGCAACTGGGGTGAAATAATGCAGTAAACAGCAGAGCCTGGATTCAGACCCGGCTTTGGCTCCAGACAGAGCTTGTAGCCACTGCTCCAAGAGCACTCACTGCATGCAGTCGCTGCAGAGACAGCAGTGAAGAGATCCTAGCCTCCTGGAGCTGGGGTGCTAGGGAGGATGCCTTTTTCATCCTCTAATCACTCTGCAGCAAATGGCTCCAGATGCTGAAGGAAAGAGCTTGGGGATGTCAAGGGATGTCTCAGGCTTACCTCTGCGTGATGGGCACACACATTTTTGTCGTTGAATTGAAAACC